CCCTTTAAATAGAGGCAGTTCAGGGGATGATCTATGCTATGTGCAACAATTAGAAAGCTAGGGCTCTTCAGAAAAACTGGAGGCCTGTTAAAGAAATGAGCATCCTCCCCCATCTATCGACCTTCACCAAGGACAACATGCTTTCAGCCTCCTGCCAATGCAATTCAGAAACTAGCAACTAGGAGGTGTACAAGAATGACCTAGATTTCACTTTATGATGTTCCCTTCCTCACAGCAGCTAGTCTCAGTACATTGGGTCTCACAAGATCACAAGAGAGGATTGGATGAAGAAAGCCCTTTGGCTTGCTCCATCTCATCCTTCCGTCCTCCCATTACAGCATCAAGCTGTGGTTTTAATTTAGTCCAGCTTCCCAGCCTCAACCACTCTTCCTGGTTTCAGGCATTAATTATCCTCTGTGAACAAAAATAACTTCCTGATGTCTGTCCGGAAATTTGCAAACCTAATTTGAGTCCTCTTGTTCTATGCATCTGAAGCTGTTGTTTCTACACAGGCACACTACAATTCCAGAATTCTGCACTGTTAAACCAGGTGGCATTTTATGCCACATAAAAGACTTGTAAGAAAAATAGAAGCTCATGGTATAAAAGGGACAGTGGCAGCATGGATCCAGAACTGGCTGGGAGACAGAAAGCAGAGAGTTGTGGTGAAAGGTTGCTTTTCTGACTGGAGGGAAGTGTGCAGTGGCATCCCCCAGGGATCGGTATTGGGACTACTGCTCTTCTTATTATACATAAATGATCTGGACTTGGGTATAGCAAGTACCATTTCCAAGTTTGCAGACGACACAAAGTTAGTAAACAGTGAGAAGGATAGTAGCCAACTGCAGGAAGACATAGACAGAATGGTAAAATGGGCAGACACATGGCAGATGAATTTCAATGTGGAGAAATGCGAGGTAATGCATTTTGGAAGAAAGAATGAGGGGAGGCAACATAGGCTGGTAATAAAATCTTAAGGGGGGTGAAGGAACAGAGAGACCTGGGGGTTCAGGTAAATTAATCCTTGAAGGTGGCAGGACAGGTAGATAAAGCTGTAAAAAGGGCATATGGGATACTAGGCTTTATAAATAGGGTATAGGGTCAGGAGGTTATGATTAACCTATATAAAACACTGTTAGGCCTCAGTTAGAATTCTGTGCCCAGTTCTGGGCACTACACTATAGGAAGGATGTTAAGGCATTGGTAAGGGTGCAGAGGAGATTTACGAGGATGGTACCAGGAATGAGGGACCTTGATTATGAGGAAAGGCACGAGAGGCCGGGATTGTTCTCATTGGAGCAGAGAAGGTTACGAGGAGACCTAATAGAGGTCTTCAAAATCATGAGGGGATTTGATAGGTTAGAAAGGGAAAACCTGTTTCCACTGGTGGGTGTGTCGGTGATTCGAGGTCACAGATTCAAAATAGTCTCTAAAAGAAGCAGAGGGGAGGTGAGAAGAAATGTTTTTGTGCTGTACAATCCTATGATTCTATGATCCTCAGGAATAGTAAATATTTCCCCATTTTTAACATCATGTTTCTCCTAGTGGGCTAAGTGTGACATATAATTCTTCTTCCCTGCCAGAGCAATGGCTTTAGGTTTCAGCTTAGCTCAAGTGGTAGTACTTTTATCTCTGAGTGAGAAGGTTATGGGTTCAATCCCCATATCGGGACATTGAACTACTGAAAACTGCCATTTTAATATATCCCCGGAGGAACTCTGCATTATTGGAGGTGCTATAGTTTGGATGAGATGTTAAATGATGTTCCATCCATTTGTTTAGATGGATGCTAAGATCTCCAGGTGCTATTCTAAAAGAGAAGGAAGTTTCTCTGGTGTCCTGGCCAATAGTCTCCCAGAATAAAATTGGTGATTCACTTTGTAACTGTTTGTGAGACATTGCTGCATGTAAATCTGCTGCCAGGTTTACCTACAAAATACAAAGTCACTGCAACTTTCAGTAAAAATTAATGAAACAGCTTCCTGATACGAAAGGCACTATATCAAATGTGAAGATTATTATTGTTATTCACCCCTTTTTCAGAAACCACTGCCTACTTCCCCAATATGAGCTGTTTATTTTTTCCTGTCACTCAGCCCATGGGCTTCTCTCAGCGTCATTTACCAATTTAGTGTCAAATTATGAAAATTATGAGCAGTTCCGCTGGGCACCTGTGCCTATCAGGAACTAGGTCGACCCTGTTCAGACTTGTTTCATATAGGACGTACACAGCTACCAGTGACTTTAACCCTATAACTCTGGATTGGATTCAAATCTAGAAAAGTAAAGTCAATCAAGAATAAACATAGGAGACCATTTGACTCTTTGTACCTGTGCCATGTTAACTCTTTCACTGGAGCACACACTTCTAATATATTTCCCTGACAGTCTCCTGATTCATTTTAATATTAAAAATTATGACAAACATTGTACTTATTTCATTTCACTTGGTTGAGACAACGCACAAGGTTTTTAATGTGTCCTCCCAGCGTAAAATAAAATAAATAAATGCAATGTGTTCATTTGCAGAAAATAAACTGTGCAAGAACACATAATAATAATAATAATAATAATCCTTGCATTTAATATAGCGCTTTTCACGTCGGGAGGACGTCCCAAAGCGCTTCACAGAACACACTGTAAAGTGAATTGACTGTATATTTGTGGGCGAACGCGGCAGCCAATTGCGCACAGCAATGTCCCACAAACAGTCGTAGATTGAAAATGACCAATTTAATTCTTGTTTTTAGTTTTGGAGGGATTATTATTAGGCGTGTGGAGTAAGGAAACTTGCCCAAGGTTTCGCCCTCTGCCTGGAATTGAACTCAGGTCTCTCACTTGCAAAGCGAGTGCTCTAACCACTGAGCTACAGGACTCCACATAGTCTGTGGTAGATCATTTACAGTAAAATTCTATGAAACAGCTTTCTGATCATTTCAATCCACGTGTCCAGTTTTGTTTTTGAGGATGGTTATGTTGTTTTACAATCTCAGCTGTTGGTTGAACAAAAACTAGGGCAAGTTTTTGCTCTCTGAAAGTGCTAGTATAAATCACAACAGATTTGGCACAGTGGCATTTGTCACATGAGTATTCTGTGCTGTATGTCTGTAAGTTGTTTATCTGTACATGAGGGTATGTGATACTGCTCCATATTAATTAATTACTACTTCAATTAAGCATGATGATTGAATATAAAGCATGTTGTACTCACTGAAAAGCACTACCTCACTGAACATTACATTTTACAATACAAACCTGGGGAGACATCTCAATTATGTGATAAGCCTCCAAATCAAATGCAAGGATTATTTATATAAAGGGGTAAGCCTCCAAATCAAATGCAAGGATTATTTATATAAGGGGGTAAGCCTCCAAATCAAATGCAAGGATTATTTATATAAGGGGGTTGCGCTGATTAACATCAGCCCAAGTAGTGATGCAATTCAAACTTGTATATTTCCCATCTATGATGTTCAACAGGAAGCTCGCAGGGAGTTCCTGGTACTTGCCATCCCTAGTGAGGGCTCAAACCTATGCTCGTTGGATGTCAAATGACTAGCTAGTGATTATCCTCCTTGGGGGAGAGACAGTGGGGTATCTTTGGAGCCTAATTGCACCTTTTAAAAAAAACATGTTGGTGTATTGGAGTCTAACCATCTTAAAACCGCATAGCTTGCTATTGATATTGTTGTTTGGCAGCTTTCCCACTAGGATTACCCTACCCCTTAAGGCTTTGGCTTGCAGGGTTAACAGGAGCTGAATGGAATGATTCTCTGACCCCAGTGACTGCTCTACCCTTCCAGGTCCTGCCAAATCTAGCTCAGAATTTTACTGATAAAATTCACTTCACATTCACAGTACTCACAAGTGAGACTGCTTCAGACAGTCTTCTACCCCGCAGACAGAAGTATACAAAACAAAATTACTTCAAACTAAAAGTGCTGCCTTCTAAGAAATGACCTTATACAGCAAAATAAACTTTCACTTTCAAAACAAAATGAGCAACTAATTTGCTAACCGATGCTGGGCGCTGACCATTAAGTGTATGATAAATGAGGAGAACCTACTCTATGTCAAGATTTACTTTATCTTAGCATTTCAGAGCATTCATAATTTGTCAAATCGTCGAATTCAATCTTAACTTGAAGCCTGGTTTCTGCAGTTAAATTGTCTTAAAAATAAGAATTTATTAAATGCTGCACACTCAAAATGCTAGGAAAGTAGTATGAATTGTAACTCAATAACACAAGCGCTCACCTAATCAGCCTATGTGTCACATGGCTCGGTTGGTAGCACTCTCATCTCTGAGTCAGAAGATTGTGGATTCCAAGCCCCATTTAACAACGTTGAGCTCATAGTCTAGGCTGATACTCCAATACAGTGTTGAGGGAATATTGCATTGTTGGAGGTGCCGTCCTTTGGAGAAGATGTCAAATTCAAGTCTTGTCTGCCTATTCAGATGGATGTTCAAGATATCATAGATTTAAAAGAGAGAAGGCAGTTTCTCCTGGTGTCCTAACGAACAATCCTCCAAATAAAATTGATCATTCACTTCAATGCTGCTCTTGGGACGTTGCTATGTGCAAATTGCCGCATTTGTCAACAAATACACTGTCGCCACATTTTACAGAAAATCCTGTGAAGCGATTTGAGATGCCCTAACATAAAAGCTTCCATATTAAATGCAACAATTATTATCATTTATCATTTCAATTCATTGTCTGTATCGCATCAACATCAAGTTCATTCATCAACTATGAAAAATTAGTTATGTTGATCAGGGTACTTAATGTATTTCAAAATAATATTCCCCTCTATTACTTAGCAGTGCCTATGAGTTATCTATTTCCCAGCCCCATCTATTTCTTTTTTAATATCTTTCTTCCAGATCTATATATATATTGTCTTTTAATTCTGTGTCACAACAGCATGATATATAGTTCTGAAGAAACAATGCTATCAAGTACTAATTATTAACTCAAATAACAAATCCTTTGTGTGTTTAAATTTTCTGGGAATTTAATGAAACCTTAGGTAAAATGTACCTAAAATAACCATCAGCACAGATGCCAGGGATGTCTCTGCGGTGACTCTTAGGCATTAAATCTTGTCTAACCGGCAAGATTTGGCAACCTCCACTATAATTATACTGGTATTTCAGAACGACTCATGTGATATGAATTCTTTAAATGTTTAAACAATACAATGAAAGAATTCCACAAACAGGGTGTTATTGCAAGTAATTGTCTGCTTATAAATAGGGAATTTACTTGTTGGTGTAAAATAGTCACAAGTCTACTTTGGTGTCTCCTGCATGATTAAACTGCGTTAATCAAAACTGAAACCCAAGATAATAATAATCCTTGCATTTGATATTGCGTCTTATCACATCTTCGAGACATCTGAAAGCGCTTCACAGAATAAGATGAGGAGATTCAAGACGAGGAGAGGCACAATGTAAAGGAGCTTGGCTGCACCATACATGAACTGAGTTCACAATCTGTGTTGTCAAATAGAGGTGCTGAGGAGAAACCAATTTTGTTCCCCAATTGGGGTTGGGGGCGTCTGGCAGCAGATCTCCTCTCCCATTACCATCTTGGTGGGAAATTATTTCTAGAACAGGGCGACCTAAAGAGGAGAGGAGGTGAAAGGAAAAATATATCAACTAACTAATCGTAATTGGCAAATCCTTCAAACAGAAGGTAAAAACTGAATTAGCCTAATAAGAGAATTATACCATAGATTCTTCAATAGAAATTATGCTATTAGTGTTATTATTGAATATCCAAATAACTTGTCAAAGGCTGTGAGAGATTTTTTGGGGCAGACCAGGTGTCTGACTCTTGCAGAAACCCATCGCCATGCTTAAGAGTATTAAAACCAAACTGAGATTTCCATGCATCCCACCTACATCTGGAGTAATATCGTTGTTGCCCACACACACATATATGTATTTAGAATGAATGTATCTCTTAATATTGGACCACAACAAGGATTCAGTTTTGAAAACAATTGTGATCTCATGAAGCCATTCTAAGATCCTCTTTTCAAACAAAAGCTTGCAAGTGTGTGATTTTTCCAAAATAAAAGACCAGAGGTCAAATCCAATATTTCCAAAATGTTTGTGATCTTCTGGTAAAATAGTGCAGTTATGAGTATATTTGCCACTCAAAACAGTCACTCCACTTTATATATCCTATGAAGCACTTTGACAACCTCCCAGTGTGAAAAGCACAATTCAAATATAAGGATTATTGTGTCAGCTTGGCTCAGTTGGTAGCACTTACCTTTGAGTCAGAAGGTTGGTGGTTCAAGCCCCACATCGGGACTTGGAATCACATAGTCTAAGATAACACTCTAATGTAGTGCTGGGGAGAGTTGCATTGCTGTCCTTCGGATGAGACGTTAAACTGAAGTCCTGTCTGCCTGTTCGGGTTCAAGAGACCATGACTCTATTCGAAAAGAGAAGCGAGTTTCTTGTGGTGTCCTGGCCAACATTCCCTCCAAATAAAATTGGTCACTCACTCCATGGCTGTTTTGCGGGACATCGCTGGGCACAAATTGGCTGCTGCATTCACACACAAATGACACTGTCATTCACTTTACAGTATATTCTGTGAAGCGCTTTGAGATGTCCCCCGGTGTGGAAGACACAATACCAAATGTAAGGAATATTTCTTAAATCGCATTTATCAAAACTGAAACAGTTTTACTGCAGTCACATCGGTGTAAAGAAGGACTTCTACTTAGGTTTAGATTTCAGCATCTCACAGTTAGGAGCTTCAAGGGCTCTAAAGAAAAAACAGGAAAATTGCTAAAAAAAAGACAGGTAAGAACACATTTCCAGACATTACATGGCAAAGAGCATGATATGAGTGTAATTATCTAATTATTTGCTTTATTGTAGCAAAGGACTGAGCTGTGTTTATAAAGTGTCCGTAACTAAAACAAAGCTATGTCCTTGACTCAAAACCTGGAGCTGGAAATCTCTGAGCCAAAGACTGAGTAAAAATGAGATACATATTATAGTACTAAACACACAGTGAGAAACATGTAGCAAACCCAAAGCTCCAGATATGTGAATATTGGCAGTACTGAAATTATATATTTTTTAACAATTATAATTCAGTTATCATATACAATTTGCATTTTATGTACATCTCAAAACACATAACAGCTTAAGTGTTTAGTGACTCTATTTGTAGGCAACTAATTTGTTCACAGCGATATTCCATAAACAACCATGACGCTTTTTTTTGGTCAGTCCGGTGTCTGGCCCATCACCATGCTTAACAGTATCCGAAGACTGTGAGTTCCACATATGAATGTCCCCAACACATTGAAATGTTGCTACGTCAGCAATGGAATGCACATTCTCTCTCTGGAGAGGCACACCCTGCTTACCTAATTCCGGAGAATATTCAGTGCAGGTTGAAAAGAGTCAAAGCTTCGAGACCCCGTAGTGTGTTGAGGTAAGAAGCTAAGAAGCTAAAATCACATACGTTTGCCATCCAGAGATTTAGCAAGTTAACTGGTTTTTTTTTCCAGGTCGGAACACCTTACCCATTAATGCTTTGCCTTGAGGGGCTAACAGCAGCTGAGTGGGAAGAATGCTTCTAGAGATAGGTCTGCTTCTCTAGGTCCTACCGATGAGCCAAGCTGTCTGGTCTGTCATCTGTAGTACCCTGGTGTACTGTGGACTTAGCTGACTCAGGAACTACACTACCAGGACCACCACAGAGGATTTATTCAATTCCAACATGCCATTGCCAACCACTTTATCTCAGCCAACTCAGCTAGAGGGATCCATGAAGTGAATTTATTTGGAGATGCAGAAACTTTCAAAGCAGGACCTTAGTTTAACATATCATCTGAAGGACAGCACCACCAATAATAAAGCACTACCCCATTGCTGGGCTGCAGTGTGAGCCGAGCTTTTGAATTAAAAGTTCCAACCGGGTAGAGGGGATTGGAACCCATAATCTTCTGAACCAGAAGCAAAAGTGCAACTGACTGAGCCAAGCTGACACCATTTGAGTGTGTGTGTGTGTGGGGGGGGGGGGCGATGGGGCACAAACTTTTTTATATATTTTAAATATATAAATATTTTTAGAAATCTGTGTGGTAGAAAAAAACAACTATGCTGGCAGTGCAGCACTGTAATACAGTTGGAAGCTACAATAGTTGTGGAAAATGTTATAACCCACAAAAATGTATCTGTCTGCAGCATATCTGGAAAATCAACAAATATACGGAGGAAGCCCGGGATGTTGTGCTCTGACACTACTGACACCTCAGGATGGGTTAACAGTAACACTAACAACACTTTATTTTGCTCTTACCCTTATGAGGAGTGTTTATTAGGTGACAATATTCACAGATCTGGAGCTTTTAATTTGCTACATGTTTCTCACTGTGTGTTTATTACTATAATATGTATCTATTTTTTACTCATTCTTTGACTCAGAGATTTCCAGCCCCAGTATTTGTGTCAAGGACATAAAGTTTTGTTTTACTTACAGATACTTTATAAACACAGTTCAGTCCTTTTAACAGATTCAACAATTAGTCTTGTTTATACTTTGTAAAAATGAACTTTTTTCTCTTCTAAACTAAATTTACAGCCTTCCTCCCACCTTCCACCATTGAGTTGCATCATGGAATGAAGTGTGGTCAATCTTCAAGAATAGAAAGTACAGAGTACAGAGGTTCTGTTCTTTTGTTTATTGCTAAATTGTTCTGCGACAATAAGGTACAATATAGCAATATTGGTACTTCAGCTGAAATGATTCATTTTTACAAAAAACAGTTTGAAATATTTGTAAGGCTTATTAAGAACACTTGTGAGAAGACCCTCACTCAATACAACAAAGCCCTGTAGTAAATTTATAAAAGTTGATTCTTTTCCATCTCATGGTTCCTATAACTCTCAATATTTTTTGCGACTGCATGGGAAACAAAGTGAAGATGCTGGGAAAAAGATAAGAGTGAAACCTGGAAAGGACAGGATCACAGAGATGGTGAAGAAGTATGGAATGGTTGATGAAAGCAACCGTAGGATTGCAGCAGGTATTTGTTTGGGAGAACCAGTTAGTAGTGCTGCTTTTTTATGAGAGGTCCAAGGTTTTACTGATGTGAATTCTGATCATAGTTGTAAAGAGACTAAGCTTCCGTTCACTAAACTGGAAGAGAAGGAAGTGTCTACATTCTTAGCCTGGCCACTCGCATGCACTTTCTGTTAATTTGAGTGGCTGACGTTGACTCAAATCATCATTATATTTCAGTTTTCATTTTTTTAAATGAACTTGTTGACTCAGAAATTTTGTGAGACTTTGCGTGGTCCGAGCTCCCGAGACAATCAAGCTCACACAGACAAGTGAACATTAACTTTTCAACCTTTACCAAGGAATGTGAATAATACAGGAAGGTATAATTGCTGATCCGAAGAACAGAATGTACAGCTGCAAGAGTTTTATTGGTAGTAGTTTCTTAATAGTTTCTTCATTCTTTTCCTCAGGCTAGTTTGTGCCCCATTTTTATACATGTGAATACACAAGTTTTTCGTAACCTTTAAGACCATCTGGTTTATCTCACAGATACAATTTTCTTGTTTTTACTCCCAACCTAACAATGACCATTTCATTTGAACATTCTGCAAGGCCACCCAATTATTACACACAGACACCACTTCTTTGTCTTACTTCTCACATAGTGCAGGCCACCTGTTGCACATTTCTTTATTCACATAACTATACCAGACAGAGCAAGGAGATTAGATAAATAAAAGGCAGACACTATTCATTTAATAATAATAATCCTTGCATTTGATATAGCGCTTTTCACGTCGGGAGGACGTCCCAAAGCGCTTCACAGAACACACTGTAAAGTGAATTGACTGTATATTTGTGGGCGAACGCGGCAGCCAATTGTGCACAGCAATGTCCCACAAACAGTCGTAGATTGAAAAAGACCAATTTTTATTATTGTTTTGGGTTTTGGAGGGATTATTATTAGGCGTGTGGAGTAAGGAAACTTGCCCAAGGTTTCGCCCTCTGCCTGGAATTGAACTCAGTTCTCTAACTTGCAAAGCGAGTGCTCTAACCACTGAGCTACAGGACTCCACTGAGCTACAGGACTCCACAGGTAAACTCCACAGGTTTCTAGCAGGTAAACAAGTACAGCAGTGAAATCCTGTAGCTCAGTGGTTAGAACACTCGCTTTGCAAGCGAGAGATCTGAGTTCAATTCCAGGCAGAGGGCAAAACCTTGGGCAAGTTTCCTTACTCCACACAGAGCCTAATAATAATCCCTCCAAAAATAAAACAATAATAAATTGGTCATTTTCAATCTACGACTGTTTGTGAAACATTGCTGTGCGCAATTGGCTGCCCCGTTCGCCACAAATATACAGTCAATTCACTTTACAGTGTGTTCTGTGAAGCGCTTTGGGACGTCTAGAAGATGTGAAAAGCGCTATATCAAATGCAAGGATTATTATTATTATTATAACCATCAGCAAAACTTCACTTAGATGTACAGCAGTAAAATAATGCCGAGTTATAGTTGGCAAGCTACTGTAACATTTTTCTCCTCACCCTTCCTGTGTTCTTACTTCAACCAAGAGGGTATGCCTAGGCTACACAGTATTCCACAACCTTTAATGCTGTTTCATATCATCTCACAGGGTAAAGGGTCACAGGAAGCACACCTTGTACATAGTAATGGTAACTAGCACAAGAAACTTCCCCTCTGCTCTTCAGATAGCCCACCACACACTCCACTCTGAGATATTTTCCCAATGCGAAAAGCACTATGTCAAACATATGGATTATTATATTATGATTATTATTATTATTAAATTGCCCATCGAAGATAACAGAGTTCAAATAGAAATAAAACTGAGATTCAATCTTTGATTCAAAACAAAATATGGAATCCTACCTGTAATCCAATATGTTTATTATGAATGTAATTTAAATAAACTGATAATGCCACAGAAGAATTTTAGATATCGAGCAAAGTAACAAACAAACCGATCATTTGATCCAAAATTGACTGACTCTCATACTTTCATCCATTTTTCCCTGTACAAAATAAATTTGTGTATTCTCTCCAGAATTTTGGAAACCGAGTATCTGGATATAACACTTGTAATTGAGAAAACATATTCGTGTTGAAAGCTTAAGGAGGAATTTGAACTATTTCCTCATCAACGTCTCAAGAATTGGCAAATGCCCAACTGCCCACAGAGTAGTTTGTTAAACCTCAAGTCAGGCAGATACTATCACATTTAATTTTGTTTACTTTTCTCATTTTCAATTCCTAGTTGGGCTGACTGAATGGTTTGCTTGAATGATCACTTCACAGGGCATTGAGAGTCAATGATGTCATCTGGGACTGAAGTCACATGCGGGGTAGAATGGGTTAGGGAAGGAGATTCCTTCCCTCAAGGACATTATTCAACCAGTTAATTGTTTCACAATAATTCCCCAAATTTTGATCACTAATGTTTTTCTTGAATCTAAAGCTCACACAAATATTGTTTTGGTATAATATAATAGCAGAATCC